ACGAAATTAGTTAGGAAATGCCAGTATTCAGTGGGGCTGATGGTGTTTGTTGTGGATGGATGGTCCCAATGAGTGCAGGACAAACCCCCCCCCCCCCCCCCACTCAAGTAGAAAGGCCATCCAAAAAGGGATCTTGGTTGCTTTTAAACTACATAAAACTGTGCTTCAATGTGTCACAGAACAATATCACCACATTTGGCCATCCAAAAAGACCCCAATACTCATTTGAATGAAAAATAAGGGGTTTTGGTTGCCTTTAAAAAATGTAATACGTAGTTTGTTTATGTAACAAAATCTTATAACCACAAAGATCATCCAGAAGAACTCTTAAGGTCATTTATGTCATCTTAGACCTCAAAAAGAAAAAAACAAAAAAAAAAAAAAAAAAAAAAAAGAAAAGAAAAAAAGAAAGAAACATGCAAGAATAAAATCTATATTAAACCTATGGTTGCCTAGAGGTCATCCAGGTGGGAGAAGAATGAAAAAGTGATTTGCAATGAATTGAAAGTTCACATAAACATCATTCCATATAGCATCATTACAATAAACAATAGTTGTTTTTTCAACACATTACACAAATAAAGAAATGCAACGTACAAAATCTTTTCACCTATTAACTATTGCACTTGTAATTTGCTTTCTCAAATCCATTATCTCTCCAACACCTTCCCCTTCTTGACTAGCCTAGGCAATATTCGTATACCTAGACCGATACATGTGATTGATCCTCATCTGCATTACTGAATTAATATCACTACGTGAATGACGTTGACGAATGTGATTGTGGAGAACTATCGTAGCACCCATAATATTCACTTTTTTATTGAAAGGGTAGGTGGACATATCACACAAAATAACCCATTTTTTTCCAAACCTCAAATGTCCTTTCAATAACACCACGTAAAGATAAGTGCTTCTTGTTAAACAACTCCTTTCTACCCTGAGTTGTGTTGATTCTTTCAAAATCCAAAATATGATATTTTGTATCAGGGAATTGCATGATATATCCTCTTGGTAATGGTTATCTAATATCAACCAAATAATTTTTTTTTTATCACAAGTTTATTCATTAATATTGTAATGCAATAAATATTTAATTTATTCATATTCAACCAAATCTGGAGGTGGTTTCGGAAAGTTGTATTTGTGAGTTCCCGTGGTATATTTTAGTTGGATAGGTGTGCACCGGTCCAACAGAAAAGATTGGATGGGAAATAGGCCAATTACCTACTTTAACATTGAAGAATGGTAGAATATAATAAAAAAAATTCAAGGAAAGCACGGGAATGAAATATGATAGAATGCAATTGAGACATGAAAGTGATCAGCTAAAAAAGGACCGAAAAATATGAAAAGAGTTAAATTGAGGATCCACAGATTTGGGTTTGGATCCAGTAAAGCAATTTATCAATGCTTCGAAAGAATGGTGGGCCGAGAGATTGGATGTGTAAATTTATGAAACGTACAATCAAATGAGTATTGGGGTGCATCCAATATATACAATCTTTTCTGTTGGACAGGTGTGCATTTACATGTATTTCATCAATTACTTTAATACAATTTTGGGTCATTTATGTAAGATATTAAGGTTACCACAGTAAATTTAGGACAAATGAAGACAAAAATCTACCTTGAAATATGACATATAACATTGATTACATGAATAGAAGTCGCATGTGGTGTGTTAGGGTCATTGATGCATGAAATAACTAATTGTGAAATCTGATTTTTAATGAAAGCTACACTATATTTTTTCTTTTTCTCAACTCTTGGACGTTTGGATTGACTAGTAGATTCAACCTCCTTGGGGTTAGGGCTGGGGCTTTTATTATAGTCAGCAGTTTGCTCGATATCTACATGCTCAGCTTTGTCAGGAAGCTTTTTTTCATTTGGTGCTCATGCATGATCACTCGTGGCCACGACTCCACTAAAGATAGGATCCAACTTTTCTTCAAGCTCAAGGTTCCACAGAACTTAATTTTTTTGGCACTCGACACGACCTATAAATTAATGGATAAATTGATATTTTGATGTAATTAAAAAAAAGAAAAGAAAAAGGTGAAGGACTGTATGTTTCATAAATTTTCACATCCAATCTCTTGGCTCACCATTCTTTCGAAGCATCGATGATTTGCTTTACTGGATCCAAACCCAAAGCTGTGGATCCTCAATTTAACTCTTTTCATATTTTCCTGTACTTTTTTAGCTGATCTTCAATTGCATCCTATCATATTCCATTCCAGTGCCTTCAATTTTTTTATTATATTATACCATTCTTCATTGTTAAAGTAGGTAGTTGGCTTATTTCCTATTCCATCTCTTTTGGACAGAGTTCACAAAATATTAGCTTTATCTCTTTATCCCATATGACAAACTGATTTCTTTTTCTTAACCATGCCTGACTACTAACATGAAATGAATTAACATAAATGTGTGGCAAAAAATATAAGGTTATCTCATTAAAACATAAATTCCTATTCAAAATTCCACGACTTGAAAAGTTAACAGAAAAGAAAAATCTAAAACCACTACCGCCAGAAATTAATTATATACACACAAATGCATCATCATCATCAACACATCACTACCACCGCAACATCACAACCAAAAGACTACCACCAACACACCAAAACCACAACCACCGTCACCACATCATCATCACAACCCACACACTAAACACCAACACTACTACTACCATCACCAGACCATCACAACCAACACACTAAACACCAACACTACTAGCACTACAACCAAACCATCATAACTAACACTCTAAACACTAACATTACTACCACCACAAGCACACCATCACAACCAACACACCACCATCATCACATCATCAACATCGACATACCGCCACCACAACATCACGCAACCAACACACTAAATACCAACACTACCACCACTATATCATCAACACCAACACACCATCATACCACCACCACATCATCAGCAACAACTAACCACCACCTCCACATCATCAACACCATAACAGACCACCATCACATCACCATGACCAACATAGTACCAACCAAAACACCACGAACTTCCAATAGCAACCTATCATCGATAATGGCCGCAGAACACCAATTGTAACCCACATACACAGAAAAGCCACAAACTAATAGCCACCCACATAGACAATGGCCCAAAACACTACTAGCCACCCATATACCACTAGCCACAATCTCCAAATGTCATAGAAAGCCATAAGGCTCAAACTACAAGTCAAAAGCAATGCAGTGTAATGAATACTTCAATTCCTCATAGAGGAAAGGCACAAACTGCAAACATCATCACCAAAAACATTATTGAATCAGAAATTGTAAAAAGCAAAGGGCCAAAACTGCAAGAACTAAAGGGCCAAAATCTCAAAGACCAAACATCCAAATTTTACAGAAAAAATAAATGCAATCATGCATTACCCCTTACTGAAAGCACAAAATCATTATATTTTCATAAAGCATAACCACAACTCGGAAAGAGCAATCCACACACTGCTCAAAGCCACAAACCACAAAAATTAAATTGCATAACGACTAAAGAGAGGGGGTAGAAATTACCAAAGGATTGCGGAGAACAAAGGGAACTGATGAAGAAGGCAATGGAGCCGTTTTTTCATAGTGAGAGAGGAGGGATTACCTAGGGCAGAGTTGAGAGAGGAGAAAGGGGAGGGGGTAGAGGAGAGGAATTACCCAGGGCAGAGATGTGAGCGGTTTTCCCACAGTGAGAGGGTGATGAGTTACATGGGGCAGAGCGCGCGAGTGGAGGAGCAGGGCAGAGAAGAGATGCAAGAGAGGAATTATCTACTGCAGCGAAGCAATAACCATACGAAAAAATGCGGGTTGCGGGTTTGATAAACTGGCGCACCGTGATTTCCAAACAACAATTTTAGCATTTTCAAAATGTGCCACAACAAAAAAGCTTCCCCAAAGGCTCCCTTAGTGAAGATTTCTGCTGGTTGGTCTTGAGTTTCAATGTGGTGGGCCACAAGGTGGCTGGATTTGATGCAATCCTAAATGAAGTGAAAGTCGACTTTTCTGTGTTTTGTACGAGCATGAAAATTGAATTGTTGGCAAGTACTAGCATTGAAATATTTTTGCAGTGTGTAGGTGCGACATTGGTGATGTTGATACCAAAATCTTGCAGCAAGCGATGAAGCCAGATGATGTTTGTAGCTATGGTGCCTGTGGCTCGATATTCGGCTTCAGTGGAGGATCGAGTCAGTTGATTGTTTCTGCACGCACCATTAGATGAGGCTGCAACCTGGAAATGTGCATTGGCCTGTGGTGGATTTACTATCAGTAGGATTTTGGTTGGTTTGATGGGTAGGCTTTTGGTTTAGAGTTCTATTGATATAGTAGAGCACTCGTTTAACTTGGGTGAAATATTTGTTTAGGGGGTGATTAAGTTGTGGACAAAGTTTGTTAGCTGCTAGGGCAATGTCCGGGTGATGGGTAAGTATTATAGCGATCCTACATGGCGATAGGGGGATAAATTAGAAATAGGTTTACAAGATTCCATGGCCACTCATTTGAGGATTTTGGTGGCATAACAGGTTTGAGTGAGGTGTAAATCTGGGGTGGTTTTGATAAAAGTTTAAAGTTTTGAAGGAAACCATACTTGTTTTCTTATCTAATGATTCAAAGTTCAGTAACAGGCAATTGAAATCTGTCTTAATATAGTCAAAACATATTTTATTTTAGGAAGATTTACATACATCCCACTCAATTCTTATGTAATTACCCATCTAACACGTATACTCCAATTTTTACATACATACCACATCTATGCATGAAAAGGTGTATTTTTAATTTTAAAAGTAAAAATTGTTTTTTTTTTTTTGATGAAAGATTTAAGCTGTACAAATGTAAACAAAGCAAAGTTTCGTTGTTGGGTATGTAAAAACATAGGAATTGAGTGGTAATAAATTTTGTTATTACAATTGATAAAAAAGCTTTCACAGATTATTGTTTAAGCTGATGAGCTCCAACTGGCAGATATGTCGTCGATGCCGCTGATCGTGATAGCATTCCTATAGCCAGAAGCGAGCTGCATGACCTGCTGATTAAGCCTTCACTGAGTGGAATTCCTCTCCTTGTTCTTGGAAATAAGATTGACAAATCAGAAGCTATTTTCAAGCAGGCATTAGTTGAGCAGATGTAAGTATGAGTTTGTAGCCTCCATTTATTTTATACCTTGTAATTTGACTCATCATATCAATGAGTCGAGTTCAGCCTAAATAAAATAGACGAAACTTAGTTCCAACGTCGAGTAAAGAAGAACAAAAAATAGAAAAAAAAAAGCAGACATTTTATAGGCGCATTTATAGACATACCACCCAATTTTTATGTATTTACTTATCTAACACTTATATTTTACTTTTTTATATTTAAACCACTAAAATCTTTCATATCACCTCTATAATACCACTATTTTAACTTTTAAAGAGTGAAATACAAATTTTCATGTAATAGCTAAGTTGGTATGTATGTAAAAATCGAAGTTTTGGTGTTAGATATGTAAACACGTAAGAATTGAGGGGTATGTATGTAAATATTCCAATTTATAACACTTCACTGAATTGGCGATTGTCTTGCTGCTGCCATTATAGATTTCACTGTAATTTGTTAACATATATATATATATATATATATATATATATTTTTTTTTTTTTTGTAAAATAAAAAGAATTAGGCTATGCCATGGAACTATGTATTGATGGTTTGGTTTTTTGATTTAGGGGGCTTGAGCTTATAAAAGACAGGGAGGTTTGCTGCTACATGATCTCATGCAAGGAGTCAACCAACATAGATGTTGTCATGGACTGGCTTATAAAACATTCAAGGTCTGCAAGATGATATAATAATTTACATATGTGCCACTTTTCCCCTTCGGTAAATCATAAAAGGGGCAGCAAATTGTGAGGTAAACTATCCATTTTTAGTAATTCTGTCATGCTTTTCTGTTCATGTAAATAATCATGATCTTCTATAAAATCCTTCCCCATTACCTCTTTATTTATATATTTTTTGACTGTAAACAGTAAACATATTGATAGGATGTTTTGTTTTTTGTGAAATTTGCATTCATACCAAACATTTCTCATGTATTTACTTGTCTTACACCCATAGTGATAGTTGCCATGAACTTATTCATGAGGAGAATTTCATTTCTGAAACATAAAAGACATTGATGGTGGTGTTTTTGATGTCATGTCAAAATTTTGTTGGTTATGCATGTAAATATGAATGTTTTGGTATTTAGATATGTAAATACATAAGAATTATTTGCATGTATGTAAATTACCCCTTTTTTTATGTATTATTTTGTTACATTGGAGGTGACATGTTTTGGTCTTCTTGAACACTGCTAGTGTCTTTCAATTTTATATTGAGTCTGAAATTTCATTGGTACGTCAGAAATTTCCTGATAAAAATAGATGTTTATGTATGTAAAATTTAAGTTTTAGATGTTAGATGTATAAATATGTAGGAATTGAGGGGTAAATGTGTATATGTTCCAAAAATATTTTTTTAATGAGCTATAAATTATCATATTCCCTGACTAATAATAATTTTATTACCGTACAAAATTGACTAGAAGAAATTTCTTTAATTTTTCTCTACAAATCTACTTTGATAATTGGGTCTATTACTAGTTCTGAAGCAATTGTTTTTCTTAATTTATTTTCAATATGTAAAAATGGAGAAAGTATTGCAGCAGGGCTCAACCCGTAGAGTTACGTGCTGAGTCCAAAGAAATCACACCACGTGGAGATGACTAAAAAAATATATATATATATATATATATATTCGGTAATATAAGGGAATATTCCTCTCGTGTTATTCAGGTGTTATTATGGGTTATTCTGGTATTATTGTGTTATTTAAGTGTTATTAGTGTGTTATTGTGTTATTATAACATTAAGAATATTCCCAGAACACAAACACCTGAATAACACGGAAGAATATTTTCGTGTAACAGAATCAAATTTTTTTTTCTTGTACCTTCATATAACATGATTTTATTGAACTCCGCATGTAAATGCAATATTTTTTTTGTAAAAAAAATGTTTTTTTACCTCCCTGCGTATGTATGTATGATAATAACACGAAAGATTTACCTACATACCACTCAATTTCTAAGCATTTACATTTCTACCACATGATCTTCTGGTTTTACATATACACCATAACCCATGCTAAAATTTTGGCAATTTTAATGCGATAGGTAATATTTGAGAGGGCATATGTAATTTACAAAATTAATGTTAGATATGCGTGCAATAATACTGGCTTTACTAATGAGGTACCACTGCTTCGATAATGCGTGCGACGACTTGGCACATACAATAATAGAGCCATGACATCGAAAATTGTGACAATCTTTGTTTCAGGCTGCTGTTTCACCCTTATTTACTACAAAAAACAGACAATCAATAAGCCAAAAAATTATGATTCAATACATAATTATCTATATTTTTATATAAATCAGAAATTATTTTAGAAAAAAAAATGTATTTTATTTAAAATACAATGGAAAACTCAAATAAAAAATTTCCAAAATACAAATTCATTTGCAAGCATTCTAATGATTCCTTAATACATAACAGCAAATTTAATGAAAAAAAAAAATCATAAATTAGCTTATGAGCCACCCCAATCTGTTGCCTTCCAAACTCACAAAAACCAACCAAAAATTTACACCATCATTTCATATTTTACACCACCATTCCTTACCATAACAATCCAAAAAACAATTTGAAAACTAGTCCAAACCATGTAGATTATTGCACATTTTAGCCTCCTGACAAAACCTGAAACTATTTTAATGAACAAAGAACAAAATGTCAAAATTACATAAATAGACTAAAGCAGCAGAAAAAAGGGGTGGTGTTCTTCTCAAGCAGGATTGTGAACCAGTTTTGGGTGAGTAGCTGCATAGATAGAAGAGTTTGGATCGGTCTGCAGGTGAATGAAGAGATGCTGCACATCTGGTCTGAGGAGTTCTACCACTTTCCCACACAGTGTTAGAATCTCTATCTTGGGTTTGCTGTTACTTTGCACTGGCCCACCCTGCCCTTCATACATAACAGCATGGTGCCTGTAATAAATTAAAATAAAAATTAATATATATATATATGTATATATATAATATGAAATGCCATTGCATGCATGACACCAAATGTTATAAGTGGAATATCAAACTTCATGTGTTCGATATAGAATTGTGTCGTATGTATGTAAATTTCCATTATATAGATTTAAGGAATATGTTGAGATTGCTTTGCTCACAAGAAGTCAATCAGGTCTTTGATTTCTGATGCATCCACAGGAGTTGCAGGCTGTGAGTTCTTCCCAAAGACATCCGCCATTACGTTGAATAGAAGCGCTAGAGTCTTGGCACCATAAGAATTACAAGTTAGAACTCTTTTTGAGGGGGAAAAAAAAAGAAATTAAATTTTGACAGGATTATACTTTAGCTAAACACGAAGATCATGATTTTATTATGATATCTTCTGCATTATTCCTCTAGTATAAAACATATTTAATTTGTGACCTATCTGGAGTAGACCTTATTATGTTAAAAGGGGAGAAATTACATATATAGTATCCATCGTTTATGTGCGTCGTAACCAAATCATTGGGAATTCAACAAAAGCGAAGAAAATGGGTTGAGATTTTATTGTGAATCTTGATATTCAAATGTAAGAGGATGCTAGTTTTGTAAATTAGAAATGTTTCATTATGCAGATAGAAAAATAAAAATAAGCTCATAATAGAAGGTAGTACACCTTCATGAAGAGTGGACGGGCGAAGGCGAGGCGCGGCAGCAATGGGCTCATTATGCGGAATGCTATTCTCATCATTCCGATGGATGCCACGGGGCGAAGGTGCTTAATGATAGTGTGTGTGGACTCCAGCCACTCATGAGGAAGATTACTGAAGAAAGAATGAAGAAGGGCAACTATATTTCCTGGAACAAAGCAATTAAAGAAATACTAAGTTTAGAAATTTGAGAAATACAAAACATAGTTATGATCACAAAAAATTCATAAAGAACCAATTAGATAGACTTGATCCATATATATGTATATATATGTATGCAAGTATGTATATGTATGTATGTATGTATATGTATGTATATGTATGTATATATATACGTATGTATGTATATGTATATTTATATATATGTATATGTAAATTTATATATATTTATATAAAAAATGTATATGAATATTTATATATATATGTATGTATATGTATATGTATATATATGTATATGTATATATATATGTACATATATATATATATATCTGTGTGTGCGCGTGTGCGTAACTTTATATGACATTATAGTTTGTACATAATGTGAGAATTCTCCTCCCAATTATATCTTTGCAACTAAAACTTTATATAACCATAAAAAATTAAGATCACACCATAGAATGTTGTTTATATAATATAAGAATTATAAGTGGGCTGAGTTTTATCAATGTCCATGATAATTTAACTATTCATCAAATACGTGAAAACAATATGTGAATGACCTAGCAACATATAGATGCTTATCAAAAGTTTATTTTTAAACATATATTTCACCAATCAAAATTATCCAATACATGCAAGATATCATCAACAACCCACATTCTTAATCCCAAACCATTTGAAAATCTCACCACTTAGAAGCTGCAATTATTTTCTTATATAATAGGAGCCACCCAATGAGATGTTTGATGCATCTAATTAATTATCAAATATGTTTAAAACCATGCATGCTAAACATTTTAATGAGAATGAAGAAAATAAGTTGTTTTGATTTAATATTTAAAAATTGTAACATCAAAAATTAAAGGGCAAGAAAGTAAAGTTCCTTCTTTGTTTTAATGTGTTTGAATTTGGGGAGCCAAATAAAATTTTCTAAGCAGCTCAAAGAGTGAAATTCCAAGTTTTCTTTGTTGCTCAAAAAGACGTAAGCTATGCTCATGCATAAAATTACCGTCTCAATTTAGTAAATGTCACCAAATAGATCAACAGTAGAGCAAGCCCTTTTATGAGGAAAAAGAAAAGGGAAATTTACCTACATACCAAACAATTTTTATATATTTACATATCCAACATGAAAAGTTTGATATATTTTTACAATGTGTATTCCACTTTTAAAATGATAGCGGTGGTGATATTTTTGATGGGATATTAAAAATTTAAATGTTAAGTTGTTAGATATGTAAATACATAAGAAGTTTGTGGTATGTATGTAAATGGCCCCACAAAAAAAAAGTCAAGTGGATTTGAATGGTTTTGGAGTCCTTCAACCACAAGGTGATGACCATTAAAAAAGGATATTTAATTGCATAGCACACAATTCTTATGTGTTTACATATCTCACACCTAACCTTTAATATTCACATAGCACTCAAAGCTTTAATATCAAATAAAAATACATCTTTTCATTCATAGATTTAAAACATCAAAGTGATACTTATGTAAATAAGAAATTTTAGGTGTGAGATATGTAAATATATAAGAATTGTGTGCTACGTATGTAAATTTCCAGAAAAACAAACTAAACGAGTTATACCTATGGCGGTCGACGTGTTATCCTGTGACGCCCACGAAGGATCCACCAAAGCATAACTAACAGCCGAATCGAGCTCCTTAATTGACCTAATCCCATCTGTGAGCCACCAACATTCTTTAATTATACGGGATGCCTCTAAGTAAAGTTGCAAGTGAAATTCCGGGGGGAGCTGGGCCAACAAAAGCCCACAAGCTTGTATCATTAAACAAGACAACTGCTGGTATGAGTAACCGCTTCTAGAAACAAAACTGGTGGCATTCATTCCAGTTGCCGAAGCTGAACGATTTGCCCCGGATGATTCCGAACCTCCGGCCGACGGAGATGTTGGGAGCCCGGAGGTCTGGCTGGAGGCCCCTGACAGCACTTGCAACCCGTTGGTCGACTGAATAAGCGAAGGCTGTACGTTAGCAACAATTTGAACGAGCGAAGCTACAATTTGGGATGCAGTTGCCGGAAGCGAAAGGATTTCAATGGTTGCAGTTTCCAGGACAAGCTGCGTGTACGTACCGGGATCCTGATTTTGGTAAAATGCTTTCTGTCCTTCGGCGTTGTTGGCCGATGCTGACGGCGGAGATGCTTGGCTTTTGGTCATTGTCGGGCGGCTGGAAATAGCAGAAGGTTCGCTCACTGTCTCTGATTTTGACTTACTGTTTAATGGAGGAATAACATTGTTCACTAAGCCAAGTAATAGAGTGGCAAAGTAGTCCACTGGAGGACAAATTGGTGGATTTGATGAAACGTACTGAGGAAATGATTCTGAAAGAGGAATCTGACCAAAAGATTAAAGTTAATGGAGAAAATAAGAGGACATTTATATACATAGCACACAATTCTTATGTATTTACATATCACAAACCTGAACATTCATATTTACACACATAGCACTCAAATATTTAATATCACATCAAAATTAGCACTGTTACCACCTTTTAGAAGTGCAACTTCTCATGCACAGGATTAAAACACCGAAGTGCTATGTATTTAAATATGAAAGTTTAGTGAGATATGCAAATACATAAGAATTGTGTGCTAGGCATGTAAGTTTCCCAGAAAAAAAAGGGAATATGTAGAAAAAAAGTTGATAATAAGAAGAAAAAGGCAAAATTACCTTTGAAATGTCGAGTACTTTGAGTATGCGAACAATAAGCTTGGTTGGAAGGTGACCATAAAAATATGCAAGAATATCTCGAACAAAGGTAAATCTCAGTGGGTGGAAGATGAGAAGTGAATAATATAAGGCCAAAACTCTTTCGGCAATATCAGTTGCATCATTTTCAATTAACCTATATATAATTAGTGGAATGACGGGGATCAGCCGCGCAGCTATATCATCGAAAAAAGGAGGGTACCTGGAAGTGCCATTGAAACATATAAGAATAAACACAAGGCTTTAATAACAAATCCTCACAGGAGATGATAAGAAATTTAATACACAGTGCGGCATGCAGAAAAAAAAAAAAAAAAAAAAAAAAAAAAAAGAAATTTGCATACATAACACACAATTTTTAAGTATTTACATATCTGACACACAAAATTTAATATTTACACTTATAGCACATTGGTATCATAAACTTATGTATGAAAAAGTGTATCTCACTTTAAAAAAGATAGTGATGGTGGTATTTTTAATGTGATGCTAAAGATTCGAGTGAAATGCATGTACAAATTTGGACTCAACATACCTATAATATTTTAAAGTTTATGCATACCTGATTTTATTTCTAAGTTTTAGAAGCAACTCAAACAACAACCTCCAAAAGCTCATTTTAGTCATATAGGGGCAATAATCGAGACTTTCGTTCTGCATATTAATGAATTACTGGCTATTCCATAGTTTGAAAAGCTTGCTCTTTGTAAACTTGCGTAATCTTGTCTTAATCAACCATGCTGTAGCCAACCTAATGAAAATGTACTTCAATTTTCAACCCTTCACATTAATCGCTAACTTGTTTATCCAACCATCTAGCCGATTTCCACCACCCATGGACCAAACACTAGTGTGAGTTTGTGCCATGTTTGTTGTAATTTCCCTTTCAAATATGTTAGATTGTAATTACCTATTTACTTTCAGTAATAATATTTATTTTTTCTATTGTGATTTGGGTTAAATTTGGTATTAGAGCTAGCCTAGCCCTAGTCTTATCCCTATAAATTCTAGAATCATCCATCCCACCCGCGCACCCCCCCAACATTTTATTTTCCCTCTACCCTACACACCTTCCACCTACCTACACCCAAAACCTTAACCACATCCATGTGAAGACAATTGTTGGATTCTAATTAAAAATTTACCACAGACAACATATAATGGCTATTCTGCCAAGATGCCATTGAGGAAAGAGCCAAGGGCGGGATCACCATCAACTCTAATAGTGAAATCCACAAAGGAGAGCAAGAAAACACCTGAATCCCTTCCGTAGGGGTGATTCCACTGGAGAAGAAGACAGAACAAAACGCTTCAGAGTATAATATCAGCAGAGTTCTAGAGCTGAAATGCCTATTGGAAGATATAGAGATGATATGCCTGCTGGAGGATATAGAGATGAGATTTTTGTTAAGGACACAAAGATAACAAGTCTATTAGAGGATACACATGCCTATTGGCGGATACATAGATCTATGAATGAAAGTGGACTTACTGGACTTCGAGGGAAGAGCGGATCTAGATGATTTCCTTGAGTGAATGCAGAATTTTGAGCATATCCTTGAATACAAAGAGGTACCTGACAACAGAAGAGTAAAAGTCACCCCCATCAAGCTGAAAAATAATGCTTCTTTGTGGTGGGAGAACCTAAAAAAGGAGAGGCAGAGAGAAAGACGAGACATAATCAATTCATAGGAAAAGAAAAAACAGGAGATGCAACAATAGTACCAAACCCTCACAATATTGCAAAGATATTTTCTTGAAGCTCCACTACTTGCAGCAGAAACTATCCGTGGAGTACATGATAGAATTTATGCAACTTAAGTTGAAGTATGAGCCGAAGGAGACAGAGGAGCACACCATAGTCAGGTATTTGGGAAGCATGAAGCCCATCATCAAACATGTGCTCCAATTGTAACCCTATTGCACACTGAGGGATGTGCAACTTTAGCACTGAAAGTGCAGAGAAAATAGAAGCACAGTAGGCAAGCACCATCAATAAGACAACCACGCACAATTTGAGACCTCCAGAGGACCGTGCCTTAGAGAGTGGAGTAGACTGGTCAGGAACAGGAAAGAGCAACTTCGAGTGAGAAAAAACCTAAGACTAGCGCGCCCATTACACTCCCAGCTAGGGGCGCAAAAGAATCGAGTCAAGCTCGAGCTATGCCAAACTCGAGTTCGGCTCATTTGGCAGACTCTGAGCTCGAGCTCGGCTAGAGCTGGTAGCAGCCGTCTCACGAGCTCGAACCGAATACTCAAGTTTCACAGGAGCTTGCAAGAAAACGTATTAGTGGCCGGAGGAGAAGGCAACGAGAGCTCACCGAAAAATGCATCAAAATGACTAGTGGTAGGCTAATTGAGCGGGCTCGTACACCAATGAGTCGAGCCAGAAAGAGGTCGAGGTTGTTTAATAAATGAGCTCAAGTTTGAGCTTGAGCTCGTGGTATGATAAACTGACTCGTGAGCTTGTTAAGGAGTCAAGCTCAAGCCGACTCGACTCATTTGCACCACTAATTTTAGGCAGTAAATGCTTCAGGTGTCATGATTTTGTACACATCAATTCCAGTTCTATGATGAGTTGAGTGAATTTCACCGAGCAGGGGGTACTGGAGGAAGTTAGCGACGAGTCAACACTGATGGTGGACAAGTTAAGTGAAGAATGGAATCCAACACAAGCGATTTTAAATTTTCTTCTAAAGATTCACACTAAGCCAAGTAGCCAACTAGTTGACACCCATGTTTATAACTTTAGGGCATCACATGAAAACATAAATATGCTTTTGCGACTGAGTATTAACTTAGCATAGCATTTTTAGTTTGACATGTTAAAGCCAGTACAGCTTTTCTAGCACAAAATATTATAACGAATTATTGATTCAGTCATTTTACTAGCTAGCCAACCAGGGAAAGCTCAGAAATTGGATAATCTGGCACAGTGAGATCACCAACCAAGGTCAACTAAATTTCTTCTAAGTTGACATTTTATTATGAACGTGTCCTATAGACTGAAACATGAATAAGATACTTTCAACAGACTATACTCATTGAACGATACGATATCCAGGAGGCAATTTTTGGGATGTCGATAGAAAGGCTGTGCAATGGTGGAAAAGGAAAAGAAAATCAAAATTCAAGATTAAAACAAATAAAAAATTATGCTTTCAAAGGTAAAACCTTATACTTACACCTAAAGTAAAATGGTGACAGCAACCTATAAATAATGTTAGCGTAATGTTGGAAATATATGCTAAGTGAATCTATATAATCTATGGCTTGAGCTACATTATCATCCATAGCAAGCCTTTACACACTATAACACAACTGCAGAAGCCTGCGATTCTGTGGGATCACGGAACCTCCCATGATCGTCCCACCCAGGAAGCAGTCTCGGTTCAATTTCAACGATTTTTTTTTATATTTCTTTGAGATCTTTCTACTTCTAATTAGGTTATTTTCTAATAGGGAACTTTTATATAGGTTGTATTTTGACTGTTTTGAGACATTGCTTGATTTTATGTAATTTGTAGACTATTTCTCCGATTTCTGCTGTGTTGTGGCCTCTTCCTTTTACAAATGATATATTTGTAAATTACTCAGGAACAAGTAGTGGATCCTCCTCGCTGACCATATCTTGTTGTTTGCCGTTCGACCGCTGTTTCAGTTCAGACAGCTGCCAACTGTGCTGAATCTGCTGTCCAACAGCAGATTTTGCCTCATACACCCCTTCAAATGCCTTAGATATCCCATATTTTAACTTCCTTGCCACTTCATAAGCACTTCTCCGCTAAATCCTCATCCTAAACACCTTCTAGGAGCCTTAGAATGATGTCATACTAATTTACAAATAATACAATCCAATTAACCAGATTGATGAATATTAAGCACCAAAGTTTCAAAATTTTAAGATATTACTTGCAGACATGAGAAATAAGTAGTGGATGAAGAATCTTGAAACGTATTACTGGTCCAGCTGAATAATATAACTGATTGTCTTATTTATTACTTAAATGACGCAAAATTACTTAGCATTATTATCAGTAAAGAACACTGAAATTGTAACTCCTACCTATCTTTCCACACAAGGTGGTTTCCGAGAGCCTTTTGTACGTCAGCTCTTTTGGGGGGTTGGTTATTGAGCCAATGCTCAGGCGTAATACGACTTGAGCAGAACATTTTAATTCTCTGCTGGAGTTCTGTTCGGTCAAGCAAACTTATCTGGACAATTATCATGCAAAATCTATAATTAGTTTAAAAACCTCATTGTCAAATATTATTAAACGTTAGCAATAAAAATTGCTGCAGAGAAATGATTGCACAGGAGAAAATTAAGATAAATTGTCTAATAAATTTTAATATGGAAAACTAAGAGATATGCAGGCAGAAATCACAAATCAAAGCTTTTATGTTAATAAACTGCTGATAAAATTGAAGTAAAACAGCAATGCCAGATCGTCCATTGCTTGTCTATTTGCAAACATTAACCAAACCAGGCTATTTAAACCACTTAACAACCACCCTTCATCTAATCAATTTAAGGAAAATTTAAGATATTTATATTTATATGATAATTACATTTCAAGACCACTCAATTTCTCTAGGAGTCTAATAGACGTTTGAATCCATGGAGTAAAGATTATCCTTTCAGGAAAAACAAACTGTGTAGGCTTTCCTCAATACTTTAAGCCAGACAACAATTCAACGGGCTGCCCTGCACTGGATTGTCAAAAATTAATAAGAAAATACAATGAAATAAAAATAAAAAGGCAATTAGCAAAATTTGGTTCCCCAAGTAGTCTAACGGATGTTTGAATCCATGGAGTAAAGATTAATTCTTTCAGGAAAAGCAATTTGTGTAGGTTTTCCTCAATACTTGAAGTGAAACAACAATACAACCGGCTGCCTGGCTGCCTTGCACTCGATTGTGAAAATTTACTCAAAAAATACAATGAAATAAAATTAAAAAAGGCAATTAACAAAATTTGGTTGATAAATAGCATCAATATATATATATATATA